TACGCACATATACACACACACATATATATAAAGATTTGTAGGTACAAATTGATGTATGCGTAATAGGCACACGTGATTATGAGTCACGATGTACTTCCCATATTAAAACAGCTAATCACAACACAGTTGAATTATGTATAATGTCATCGTGATGGGAAGAGAACATAAAATGATACGCAAGCTTGCTGCAGTACTGATGCGTGTGCAGCTACACTGTAAAAGACAACATGGGTGTATGATGAAGTGCCGTATAAGGCCATATGGAAGGCAGCCAAGGATACTCCAGTGGTACAATTATATACCAACAAAAATTCTTCATATGAACGGTGCGAGACTCACCTTCGCCTATTGGCACGTACAAGTGAACGACACCTACATGTACCGTATGCGCTAGCATCAGTACGCAGAACATAGCGCCACTCATTATTAAGGTCCGGCGAAGGTAAAACAATCATCATTGACGTACAGTAGTGTCAGGTCAGTGTTGTTGAGCCTTACCACAAGGTGATCATGGAACATCATTCTTCATATAACTGAATACTTTAAAAGCTATGACGGTACAGTCACAAAAACTTACAGATAGACCCACGGACATATCAGCTCGGACAAGTACAAAGCCCGAAACCACACCCAGCACAGAAATGGGACATAGAAATGCACGCCATAACACACTATGAGATCACACATGTACAGTACAAGACATACCCACGTGGACGTTTTGCTTCGAGTTGAGGTGATTGACAATGCCCTGAATATTAGTCTGCAGGTACTCCAGGCGCCTATCGTAGTATTTTCCCGCCTCTACCATCGACTACGTATCAGAGAGTCGAAGTCTTATATCAGATTCACTATAGACATACATCACAGTGGCGTATATTTGTGATAGATGATACTTTATGATATTCTCTATAATTTAAACTGCCGGGGCGTACAAGGGTCTTCGGATTGAAATCCAGCAGGTAGTCATTCGATATTGCACACGCAAACGTAGAATTCTGAATATACGAAATTTCCATGCATTCATGCATACATTACGTATGAGTAGGTTCAAGCAAAAACTTGGCTTTGGATTTAAATTAAATCTCGTGCTTAAGAAATTTGCGACCCTGTGTGTATAACTCTGTATCAATACATACACGGAATGTAATATATATATATAATTATATATATATTTACAAGAACCTGTATCGGTGTGAATTGGACTTTAGTACACAACATGAATGTTAAGTAAGCAGACTGTGCTTAGGTGCATCCAGGACTAAAAATTAGGCAGATAAGGTGTAGACATAATCGTTCACATGGCTTCAAGTACATTTGCTTGTGCGTTTAGGACACGAAGACGCAGATTTAGAGAAGCTTGAAGCGATAATTCCAAGTCGTATACACTACCATTCGGATAATAGATCTCACCTTCTCAACGTAGTAGCCGGTACCTAGTTCGACCACAACTTTCTCAACATTGCTTAGTCTGTGATGGGATGAGTTTAAGCGGATCCTGTGAGACTGCGATTGCCACAACTTACGGAATAGACAGACTTGCATACCACATTGCTCACAAATATGCACTGCAACACCTATGACCGCACTGTCTGCCAAGTGGATAATTTGGCACAATAATCGATGCCCTAGACACTCCACTACCGAAATGATGGAGTGCTGAAGCAACATTCTACGTTTGTGAATAGGGAATCAGTTCGCCCAATCCGAGTCTCTGATTCATTTCTTAGCCGTATCATTCAACTGCCAGCAAACACAAGCATCGCGCATACGTGAAAAGCATGATGATTCCAGGAACATATAGCAGCCAAAATGATGCCGGTCTTTGAGCACCGAGTTGAAAGAACTATATGTTTGTTCATTGAAGACAGCTGAATGATTGTTTCACCTTTCTACACGGTCTAGATGTGCCTGACAATCCAGGTATTGCTATACACATTCGTATTTCACATTGGCTACTTGAAGATTCAATACCGGTGAGTGAAACATTGTATACATACTTTCCTGGGACATAGAGTGACTTGGTCATGGGGACCAGCACTTGCGCCTGAGAACTCTCGGGGTTAATTGATGCCACGGCTTCTGCCCTCGTATAAAATTTCAACAGTAAGTGAAATGGGTTAGCAATATGTTTTAAGACCAATAACTCAAGCAAGCCTAAAGCAGCAGTAAATGACGAACGGTATAAGATGATCGACCATATCATGAAGTCGTGCTGCAAGCAGAATATTGGGTTTTGGCCAAACTGTAAACATCAGTAATATGCTTAAACAAACACGATTTCTGGAATGATTAGGCAGAACAACGGCTTGATTCCTCGAACATTTGCTGACCCAACATATCAGGAACACACAAACACAAACACACACACACACACACACACACACAC